GCCTGTGTGACCCCTAAGGCCGGAGCTCCTTGCAGGACAGCCTGGCAGCTGCAGCCCAGGGAAGTCGGTGGGACCCTGCCTCAGGGAGAGCCCCCCCGGACCAGGCTGAGGCTGAACTGGGTGCTGCTCCCTCATCAGAAGCTCTGTATTAGTGTTTAATCTGGCATTAGCGCATTAATCCAGTCCTCCCTGCTGCCCAGACCATGCCCTCAGCAGAGCGTGGCCCAAGGTCTCCGTGCTGCAGCAGGGCAGGAGCAGCACTAAGATACAGCCTCCCCCGACAGCCCTTGCCTGGACACTGAGTCTGGGCTGGTCTCCATCCCCCTGCCTCCTGGACACTTGCATGGGAGATGCATGGAGGCAAGGCTTTGCCAGGCTCTGCCAACAGTCTACTGGGGCACACAAGGAGGCTTTGGCAGCAGGGGAGAGGCTCTAGATAGGAAGGGCCCAGGCCACAGCCCTAGATCTAGAGCCCGTCTCTGTGCACAGGTGCCATGCAAGGCCTTGCAACACCAGAGCTCCTCCCCAGAGTATAGGTACCTCTCCCAGGCTCTGTACTTGTGCCCAGGCTGGGGGGTGGTGACAGCAGGTGGCAGCAAGGGCATGGTTTAGGGCTCCATCCAGCACATCTCTGTGTCTGGGGATGGCAGTGAGCAGAGAAGAAATCAGAAGCGCACAAATCTCCTACACGCATCCAGGACCTGGAGGAAGAGACGTTCCTGGCAGTTACCCTGGCAGTACAGCCGTGGCAGGGAGAGTGAGACAGCCGGAGCCCAGGCTGCAAGGGGCTGGAGGTGGGGGGCACCGGTTGCCAGCTGGCTGAGGAAAGCCCCTCCACCTTCTGGCTCAGCAGCTGTCTTCGGCTTCCCTTGCTCTTGGAGATGGACTTGAATAGCTCCTTCTCTTCCTTGGGGGCTTACGGCCCTGTTCTGCCTGCCCTTCTGGAGCTGAGCTTCCCCCAGGCTGACAGGATCAGTGGGAAAAGGAAAGTCAAGCTGTTCTGGATGCACTGGGCACTGAGGAGGAAAGCTGATCTCTCTCCCCCACCCCCCACTTCCTGGCTGGGACTGCTGCCATGGGGAGAAAAGGGGTGCCAGGGCTGTGAGACAGACACTGGTGCCCCTGCTTCGGGGATCAAGCCCACTGGAAGGGAGTGATGAGGGTGAGTGGGACAGCAACCCGAGCAAGCTGCTGCTTTGGGGAGGAGCGCAGGGGCCCAGCCCCTGCAGCACTGAGTGCAGACCTCAGCTGCTACCCCCTTTGGAGGAGGGCAACAGGTCAGGGCTTGCTGGCACTGGAGCTGCCATGTCCCCTCAGTCCTGGCAGTCCAGATAGGTGGCAGATCTCCAGGGAGACTCTGGTGTGCCCCAAGCCTCAGCACTTTTGCAAGGGGAAAAGAAACATCTTTCGGGAGTGTCGCAGTTGGTTCCCTGGAGGAACTCCACACTGGGGTTCAGAGCCCGGCTGCCTGCACCTGAAGGTCCCCACTGAGCCACACTAAGTCACGAAGCACTTTGCAGGGAGCCAGGCCAAGGAAAGGTGGTTTCTGGAGAGAGGATGTGAGTCAGCAGCTTGGGGGTGGGGGTGCGAGTAGAGGAACCAGCCTAGGGACGTAGGGACGGATGCAGAGAGGAGAAAATAAATGGGAGCTGGGAGAGCTGGAGGGGCAGAAGGGGTGGTCTCTCAGGGTAGGCATGACCTGACTGTGCTGCAAAGGCTCTTTCTAGCAGGAGAAATCAGGCAAGTGGCAACGTGGCTCTGCAAAAATAAGAGGGAGAGTACTCCACCCCCTCTCAGATCCCTTACTACATGGCTGGGAGCCTCTAAGGGAGCTGGAAGATCCCTCTGCCGTCTTGTCAGGAGGCTGAAGCAACGGCTGGGCTCAATCCTGACCCTCTTGCCAGCTAAACAAAGGGAAAGAGAAGCCAGACAGAACTGTTCTGTTTGTTTGTTTTTGTCTGTTTGTTTGTTTTTTTAGTAGGAAAAAACCCTTCTGCCTTTAATCACAAGGCAGCACAAAAAGCTTCCCAGCCACATGTTCTCCTTCCTGGCTGTTCCCAGCTCAGCACAGGCTGAGGCTTTCTAAGACTGCCTTCCCCTGCCCCGTCTCACCCTTTGCAGGACACCCGACGGCTCCCAGCTCCTGTCCCCCTCCTGGCACTGCAGAGCAGGGCACTGCAGGCCATTACAGCCCCCCCCAGGACCATGAGGTCCTCCCCACCTCACGGCTTGCTCCAGAGGAGCACGTTCTCCCCAGCTGTCAGGAGGCAGCTTCACAGGGTCTCCTTTTCACCCCAGATCCACCAGCCGCACGCAGTCCTCACAGCAGGGGAGGACCAGAGGTGCTGGGAGGTTGCTGGTCATGCTCAGGCAGGGCTCAGGTTGGGTACATCTGACTGGTGCCAGTACAGGACCCCACTGTCTCCTTGAGACCTGCTATCCCTGTCCTCTCTGCAGAGACAGGGGTAGACAGGGACACGTACAGCCCCCAGGAGAGGAGCCTGTGGGGGGTCAGGGTAGCCTTTCATGCTGCTGGAAGAGTAGAGGAGGCTTGGGGAGGGCACAGCAGCTTTATTGGGTCTCCCGATATGGCTGTGCCCTCAGCCTTGGGGGTCGGTCTGGGCTGTGCCAGTTCCTCCCTCTGCAGTGCATAGGTGCAAAGCAGAGCAGGGCTGCCCAGGCAGCAGCAAGGTCTGGAGCCTGCAAGTGCTCTGGGCCCTGGCACCCACTGCCAGCCCTTTGGGGTGTGCTCCCACATCAGCGGTCCAGCTTCGCACCCCACTGCCTGGGCTGGGCACTGCCCCCCCAGCTGCCAAGACCATGCGTGTACCCCTGCAGCCCCTCCGGGCTGCCCTCCCCTTCCACTAGCTGCCCTCCCTGCCCACCCCCTGCTAGCCCCCGGGCCAGGCGGCCCTGGTGAGCTGCCGGGACTGTGCTCCCCCGCGCACCCGGAGCAGCGCCGGGCTCGGCGGCCCCGCTCGCCCATTGGCAGGATTTTGCTGCAGTCTGCTTGGAGCTGGCGGTTTTGGTGACTGAAGAGAACGGCGCTGCTGGGGGGCTGGGTCGGCGTGGGGCTGCAGGTTAAGGGGGG